TTGTGGCGTCTCTGCGGGGTGCAGGTGCGAGTGCAAAGGTGGGGATTTGCACGCGCGGGGGGAAGTTTGAGAAGTTTGATTGGTGGACGAAGAAGAAAGAGGCTGAAGGTACCAGTGTAGCAGAAGATGAAGAGTTACGCAGGGTGAAGCGCTTCGAGCAGCAACTCCTAGACGAAGCACTGTAAGGGACCTGGTGCTGCGCGGTTGTGTGACATCCCCTGAACCCCATGACCTGCTTCTCGTTTGCTGCTGTAACGGTGCCAGCTATGCTGTTCGTTGCTGTTCACTCCTGTATCTTTTGTCCATATCTTTTTTCGGCAGGGGACGGAAGCCGCGCCACCTCCTTGCAGGTGAAGCTCTTCCAGACGAAGAGCCGCCCCCTGCAGCTGCAACTGCAACGGCAACGGCGGTGGCTGACGACCGCAGGGCCGCTGCTAAGGCGCTGAAGAAGCTCAAGAAGGAACAGAAGTAAGCGTTGCAGTTGTAGTGTCTACACATCTTCACGAAGCTGCTTGTTGCATGAATAAAATAGCTACATGCATGCGTGTCGGCTTCAAATTTGGCCTCTGTTCAGGAAGCTGAAAAAGATGCGGAAAAAGGAACAAAGAAGGGAAGCAAAACGTCTTCGCATGGTGAAGAGAGAGCGCGACAGCGACTCCTCCAGTTCTTCTCGCAGCCGTTCATCTTCAGCTGACAGCCGCAGCGACCATCGCGTCAAGAGGCTCCGTGGTAGCCCGAGCCCCAGCAAGCGGAGTAGAGACGTGAACAGGAATCGTCGGGGAGAGGAGCATGCCGTCGGTGCGGTTAGAACAAAGCGTCGTTTGTCGGAAGAGAGAGGACTTGGGGAGGTTAGATTGGAGGGGAGGGAGCGAACGCAAAGAGAAGACGGCAGAGGAGAACACAGGGATGAAAGTAGAGGTCACAAACGCCGGCGATCCCACAGTCGGGACAGAGGCCATAGGGGCCGCAAGAGCAAACGACGGTCGCGCTCGCCGCAGAGTGAGGAGGAGAGGGAGAGGCATCACCGACAGCATCACAGGAGCAATGGGCAGACCGGAGAGGGCAGCGAGCGGCAGCGGGGCCACACAGAAGAAAGAGCCCACAGGCGTCACCGTTCAGAAGATGAAG